TTATATACACATGGTATTTCCTAAATGTCCAAGTTTCATAAGCATCTTTTAGATCAATTCTATCTATTATAGTTTCTAAGAAAAACAGTAAAATGTGAAGACTGCTGTTTGGAGCGTTAATTTATTACTTCATTTTTGAATGCGAATTACATCCAAATGGACGAAACCACAGCAATAATTATATACACATGGTATTTCCTAAATGTCCAAGTTTCAGATGCATTTTTTAGATCCATTCTATCTATTATAGTTTGTAAGAAAAACAGTAAAATGTGTAGACTGATTTTTCGAGCGTTAATTTTTATTACTTCATTTTTGAATGCGAATTACAGCCAAATTGACGAAACCACAGCAATAATTATATACACATGGTATTTCCTAAATGTCCAAGTTTAATATGCATCTTTTGGATTCATTCTATCTATTATAGTTTCTAAGAAAAACAGTAAAATGTGTAGATTACTTTTTCGAGCATTAATTTTTCATTACTTTAACTTTATACGTGAATTACAACCAAACCGCTGATACTACAGTAACGAGTAAATACTCGCTTCATTCTCGAAATATCCAAATTTCATATGCATCTATCAAATATACTTTATGAGAAAATCACTGCTTTTTGGAGCGTTAAACTGCTTTTTTCGAACTTAAATTTTTTATTTCATTGTATTTTTTACTTTAATGTTTCTAATGCACACGCGTTACGTATTTGATTGACGTTCGTGCAGATTAATGCAGATTGGATGTAATTGTCTGTTGGATTCATTGAGCGCAGTTCATAGTTCAAACAATTTTACTATTGTCGGATACGAGTGTTATTTTGTAGGATGTAGATGTTGTTTCTTGTCTTATAGATTTGAATTCGGTTTACCTGTGTGAATAGTAGAATCCAATTTCTTCCATGATTATGTGGACAGCGAGTTCAGCGAGGACCCAGTGAAAGGTAGGAAGTTCGCGTACCGGCGGCGTCCCACGGTACTGCATGACGCGATGTATGACGACGGCGAGAGGAAATCCGATGACCACTTGGTTCACCAAAACGCACCATATCACCTTTTGATTAACACGCAGGTGTTAGATATACAAACAAGTAAGTAAAGAGCAGCAAATCGCACTGACCTTCAGCAGTCTCTTTGTTTCGACTGGTTCGTTGGTTCCCGGCTGCACTTTGTACCTTCTCAGTATCGCCGGTTTATTGGTGATGTCCAGTAGAGTGTAGATACCACCGAAGATCCAGTAGACTCCGGTGGTGAGGATGCACGTGCCGACCACCCAGAGCATGAACGGATCCTCTCCGAACGTGTCCAAGAATCTGTCCCATTGTGCCTGCCAGAAGTCCCCGGAGGCGCCCCAGAATCGCTGGCAGTGCCTGTAAAGAAGTATCGCTTGTACCATCTCTCTACTCTTCCGCACACACGACTATCAATCTATGAGTGACCGCCAGAACCGAGAGAACGAAGCTAAATAGTTTTTTTTTATCATTCAATTCGCACTCGCGATAACCCCTTTTGCGTCTCAATTAAACTTTGTCCGTAATGTATTATATGAAACTGAATGCACACACATCCATCCAATCTTTACAACAATACATATATTTCTTGCACCGAGACAAACATTACTCACCAAGTGATCGAGTTTCGAGCAGCGGCGAAGCATATGAGCGCAGAGCTGACCACTATCAACACGCTTCTCAGAGAGGAGAGGATCGAAGAATTCTGTTGCTGATTGGGAACCTTCCTTCTCGGACTCAACTCGCCCTCCGACGGTGAAGACTCATCTTCAAGATCAGCCAACATCTTCGAAAAACAACCTTCACAACAAAGAAGAAAAAACAATCTCAAATTAAACGACCTTTCGAATTTCGAACGCAACAAACGCGACGCGATTTACATTTGACATTGTCAACTGTCCGCGAAACAAAATATTGTTATTATTATTACATCCAATCACGACGCAAAATAAATATAGTTATTATCAATTATTCACTGTATGCAAGAACAATTTCAACTTCAATCATTCCCACGTGCATAAATACATTATTTTTTTTAACACCTTCAATTCCATTATCCTCCTTATTATTCATATCGATCATTTTTATCAAAAATAAGCAGACAATAAACAAATAAAAACATTGATATTTTCACATATTTTGCATTAAAAAACAACATTTAATTAAAAATTGACTGTTTCAATAAACATTGTTAATTGATTAATTATCTATAAATAAAAATACATAAAACGCACTTATTTTATTATTATTAATTACTTGTTATTGAGTTATTTTAATTTGTTTGAAAGTATAATTTCTCTGATAACTTTTATGGGTTGAAGTACAAAGAAAATACGTTTATTTATAAACATCTTTCAATAATAACAATTTAAGTGAATATTAAACGAATATATTGCATAATTGGATTATCGATGTGTTTTCTTTAAGGAAATTTCAATCGAAATGTACGTAAATATACAAACAAAATGTGAATTAAAAAGTTTTGATTTTTGCTGAAATCTGTAATAAAATTTTGAAATATACTAAATTTTTTATAGAAACTTGTATTAACATACTTATAAGATGATAGTTATTCAGTTAATTTGATAATTTAACAAATTATTTACTTTTTTTCAGATTTTTCTTAGAACATTAAAAATAATTATGAAATTAAATGAAAGAAATTAACTGATTTGATAATTTAACAAATTATTTACTTTTTTCAGATTTTTTTTAAAACATTAAAAATAATTATGAAATTAAGTGAAAGAAAAATTCATAATCTAAAAATTTCTATTTTTGCTGAAATTTGTAATAAAATTTTGAAATATACTAATTTTTTTATAGAAACTTGTATTAACATACTTAGAAGATGATAGTTATTTAGTTAATTTGATAATTTAACAAATTACTTACTTTTTTTTCAGATTTTTCTTAAAACATTAAAAATAATTATGAAATTAAGTGAAAGAAAAATTCATAATCTAAAAATTTCTATTTTTGCTGAAATTTGTAATAAAATTTTGAAATATACTAAATTTTTTATAGAAACTTGTATTAACATACTTAGAAGATGATAGTTATTCAGTTAATTTGATAATTTAACAAATTATTTACTTTTTTTCAGATTTTTCTTAAAACATTAAAAATAGTTATGAAATTAAGTGAAAGAAAAATTCATAATCTAAAAATTTCTATTTTTGCTAAAATCTCTAATAAAATTTTGAAATATACTAATTTTTTTATAGAAACTTGTATTAACATACTTAAAAGATGATAGTTATTCAGTGAATTTGATAATTTAACAAAATATTTACTTTTTTTTCAGATTTTTCTTAAAACATTAAAAATAATTATGAAATTAAATGAAAGAAAAATTCATAATCTAAAAATTTCTATTTTTTTGCTAAAATTATAAACAACATATAAGAAAGATAATCATAATGTACTGAATTTATTAAATTTAAGATGACTCTTTTACTCAACTTGAAAGAAAACTTTAAATTACAACAAATCATGTGAAATTGAATCAAATAAAAAAGTAATAATTTAAAAGTTTGTATCGTTTGCTGGAATTTGTTATAACAATAAATGGAATAGAGTTGAAGGACCCAAAGGTCGATAACCCATTGAGTCTCACATCTCCAAAAGAAGTTGCTACAGACTAGAGCGAACGCAATTATCTAAATGTTAAATTCTAGTACTGTTAATAAATAATTACTAGCAAGCAACGTAGCAACTGACTAGGTGATACATTGTTTACAAACAGAGGAATATCGATTCGGGTGTACTTTCTAAAACCCGATACCGGTTGGATGTTACGCGTTCATTAATTATTAGTTAGTCAGTAGGCTATTTTTAAACTTAATTGAGTTGACAACTAAGCAGGCTAAGATATAAGCAACGAAAAAAAAACAAATGCTTGCAAATGTCATGGAACTTGTGAAAGGACCAGTTTTCGAAGCGGATTGGGAATAGAAAGAAACGATTGGAGCTAGAAACGAACACACAGAACGTTGTTGTTTTCGCTGCTGTTGCCGTGACAATGAGATAACAACAACAACAACAATAATAATAACAAATGAAACGGAAAAACGATTGCGATTAACTGTGATTACGAGAGCAATCTATGAGATTGCGGCGAGCGCGCAGATTCCGTTAAATTAAACAAAAGCGTCGCACCGTTGTTTGTTATTGATTCGTCGATGAACAAAAATGCATCACGCATTAACAATTGAAGCCGAACGCGCGACAAAGATATTGCACGTTGACAAAAGGTAAATATTGCGCGTTTCTTTTTTTCTCTCTGAAGCACGAAAGGTCACAGGATTCAAATGCCATTGAACTTGCACTGATCAAGTGATTGATCAAGCTCCTCTCTTACCTGGACTCTAGAGCTCTCTGTTCACCTGGACGTCTTCTTCTGAGTGGTGAGAGTTTTCTTTTTTGTTTGTTTAAGCGATGTCTTCGCACAGGGATCAAGCAACAACCGCGTAGGTAATCATAATATCAATACTGGTGTTTTGTTTTTGTTAGGAGGCAGCGCCGTCTGTTGGCGCTCTGGAAATGCGCGCGAATTCGCAGCCTTAAAATCAATTCGGGAAAATTCGCAAAGGTTAGAAGAAAAATGAAAGAGGGAAAGCGGGAAAACTGTTATATAAATAGATGTTGCTGCTTCGACGTGCCAAGGAAAACTATTTTCAGGATTGATGCGTTATCTGTAACTTTCTTTTGTATTAAGTAGTTCAAGCCAACAACTTGATCACTCGTTAATCTTAATATAAAGTAAACTAAATAGTTTATTTAATCATAGAGTAAAGACAAGTAGACAAAAAATATGAAGAGATTAATTTAGATAATACTGTAGATTATTTAATTTTTGAAAAATGTTAATATTTATAGTTTTCCAATAATACAAAGTTAAAAAAAATCGAAACTATAAATTTAGCAATGATTAACTAGAAAATCAATAGACATAATTTGTTCCTTAAAGTCTACTTTAATGTGAATATTCTATTTATATAGTCCTTTGGCTGATATGTCCAATTTAGAGCAAAATGTAAAGACAATACTTTAACTAATCTTGTTTTTAAATTCCTTAGATTTTCAGCAGAAAACTGTAAATTATGTTACTTAAATTATAAATTACTTTATGTAGTCTGAAGTATAATGCAAATACAATTCTTGATAGTTTATTAAAAAAAAGAACTAATAAAAATCAAAAAGTTTTAAAGTTTTGTTGAAAATGAACCACATTATATTGTAATATTTAAAAATAAATTACGTGTGTGCTCTTAAAATATTTCCAAATTTAAATGAAAAACAACATGATTCATCACTCTTTGCTAAATTTAACCAGAAAACGTGTGTTGGCAAAACAAACAAAAATGCCGAACACACGCGACAATAACAACTTTACGAATGGTTTTCTTCCCTCGTAGATCAAAGGTAGCTTTAACAAATATGACTAAAAGAAAAGAACGTACATTAAACAAATGAATATTAGTTTTCTGTTTCTTTGATCGTAATGTATAATTCGATTAACACGAGAATTGTGTGAATTAATTTATTAATTTTCAGTTCCTAATTATGATTTGAAATTGAATAAATATAAAACGTAAAATTAGATGTGAGAATGCATCAAATAATTGGAATGTATTGGAAAATTTGATCGAAACAAAAGAAGGTAAATTAAACAAACGAATTGCAATTTCTTTGATCACAATTAAATGAAAGCTTTAACATTAACGATTAACTTGATAATTGTGCATTAATTTTCAATAAATTTGCTAAGATAAAGACGATAAGAAAAGAAGAATTAGAAGTGCGTTTGCGTACAAAAAAATAATTGTAATGCGTGCACTGATAAATCACAGGAATTTTAATTTAATTATTCTCTAAGCTTTCCGAAAGCCAATAAAACAGGATTACAATTATGAAGCATTATAATCTGTTTTTGATGTCGCATTTAAAATACGACGTTTATAGTCTTCGTCGTTTCAGCTAATTCAGCTTTATCTAATAAAGGTATTTATTGAATAATTTTCAAAATGTATCAAGTAGGCTATGAACATCTGTCAATAATTTTTTTTTTGCAATATTAAAGATATTTATATTAGATTTTAGATATTTAAAAAATGTAAATCAATGAAATGTGAAAACACTGCTTTTTCGAACGTTCTAATTTAATATGTTCAACTTTGAACGCGTATTACAGCAAT